TGGTAATTTTCTATATTTTGAACGAAACACAAGCAAGTAAAAAAAAACACTTTTGAAAAGTGGTTTTCTATTCCAGGTCAGTGGACCGTTTTAAATGGTTAGTGTATTGCGTAATAATTCTAAAGAACTGATAAATACAATAACCGATTGGCAAAAAGTTAAAATATGATAGGAAAGCCGGGTACTTATATACTGTATGTCTTCGGTTGTTGTTTATTCTATTAATGTTTGTAATAATATTAAATTGGCTGATGCGATTTAATATACATGTACTTAGATATATGCTTTAATTTTACAAACTCTAATCTAACATACACCCCCCCCCAGTTTACCGAAATACTATTTAATTGCAACAAAAATACAGAGAAATAAGAATCCCTAAAGAACGTTTTAGCTCCAATGCAAATTTGCATAATTATAATCAACGAATATACACCGTTTTTATGTTTAGAAAATATTATAAATTCTGTCATAAATTATTCATTCATTTATCTATTTATCTTCTTATTTATTCATATTATATTTAATTTTTATTTATTTATTTGCATGTGGGGGGGGGGGTTAAGACACTCTGACACTGTAAATGTCATGCATGTATGAAGACCTGTAAGACTCACTGGTGGAGAAAGACTTTAGTTGCCTCTTTGTGCATTATCGAAGGCAAGAGCGGACCAAAAACTTTCTTTACATGTGAAAATCTATAAATTTCTAACGAAATTCTAACTTACCTTTTCCGTAGTAAACGGGTGTTTGACATGCTTTAACTGCTCTAAAATATGGATTTAGATTTATAGTTAATAAATACCTTGCACCAGATTTATTATAAAAAAAAATAACCGCAAAGTGGTGTTGAGAAAGCTATACAATCAATTATTAGAGTGTCTCATAAAACATGCATATTCCACACGTCAAATAAATTCACACAAATCTCTTTGCAGTAAACCTTTTCATACTGATTCTTATGGATAGTCACGAGCGTTTAATACTATTTATCTGTCTTAGAAGGTAAAACTGTCTTGTAATAGTGTGTGGCAGTGCGTTATAAAAGTAATATTCGTATATAATTAATAGAAAAAAATAACGCTACTGTAACCAAAGACTTATGTAATTATGAAATGATTGTGTCTCCTGAATTATTTTTCAGTGTAACTTTTTTATTTTGTTTAATAGATGACACGAATAAAGGAGGAAAAACAACAAAATCCTTCAACTTAGAAATTTAAGAGCCGATGAAAGTTCACTATCATAAAAAGGTTGTTATATTTTTTTTTGTTAATACTTAATGCTATTATAATATAAAATTGTTAATTACGATATTTGGCAATGTAATTTTAAAAAGAGCACATCCACGTTGAGCTGACACCAACAGTTTATTGATTCCATAGTCACTTCTCATCTGTATTTCTTTTAAGTCAGATGATACATTTTGACTACGTCATATATCTTAATTAATTTGAATGACTTCCAGAGATTTTCCTGGTATAAAACTTTAATTGTCACATAGGATAAAAAACATATGACATTAAGATCGTTTTGCAATTTGTTACCCAGTTTACAAAGACAAATGAAGAAGTTGTACTGTAAATTACGACTCTGGAAACGTTTCAAATACTTGAATTTGCTTGGTGAATGCGGATTTAAAATTTTAATTATATCAATCCTCAGCAAATACATCTTTTCTTATTAGCTGCATATTTATTTGCGCATCAAAGATAAGATAGTAATTTAGCTCTGATCAAACTATGTACCTTATATCATTATTTGTCTGCTTAATCAAAGATGTTCATTGTTAATGCCAAAGCTAAATTCATTTGTTCATAAGCCACACAAGTTGCAAGAGGACGTTTGTTTCTTTGATAGTGCCTTTGTAGATAACCTTAACCATGTACATTATAACATTGTTTTCCGAAATCTTCCCACTTAGACACGTTGTACACAATTACTATTCAAACACTTAATGTGTATGTACTGGAATATGAATTCTCCCCAAAATATCCTTTAGGCATTTTACAATAGCATTGTTATATTATAGATCTGGGATGAACCATTGCTTTGTGCAAACATAACCTATTTTTCTCAGAAATAGAAAACAATTCGTGTAATCAATTTAGAAACGTACAATTGACCTGTCCAGAGGATGTATTGTCCTGGAGACACATTACTTTAACGTCCTGTCTGAAAACAAACATAATGGAGTAATATATTTCTACGGAATATTAGGGAAATAAAATCGGCGTTTTGTTGCAGTTATTTGCTTTGCAATAATATTTGAAGATTCCATTCAAAACAGACAATTAACAGACTCATTGTATAAATGTTTAATTGATAGATGCATTTAGATAGCGATTATGAATAAGTATTCGTTCATGATTCTGTTTTCAATTGAAATAGTGTAAGATAATAAAATCAATAATGTTTGCACCGGACACTATTTTAACATTGTATGATTTGAATGTTTTTGTTTTACAGTTTATTGTTTTCTTACATATGAAAACCTTGTAGTAATGATTAGAACTGCCAAGATTTCCATGTAATATTTTATTATATATAAAACATCTTAGGACATTAATCACAACTCATTCGGCATCACATTTAAAACAATAGCTATCCGAAAGTAAGAGCGCTGGACTTTTCTTAGTGCGTGAAATAAACAAGTAGGCCTTACTCTGTAAAAAAAGATACCTCAGAGTTATCGGTTTTTTTTCTTTTTGCTTTTTGTTGTTGTTACTCTACGAACGAACAAAGTAAAATGATGTTTCTATGACGCGGAAACAAATTTGACTTTTTTGTTTCAGAAGAAGAAAAAATCATCATATGGCTGAAATACTAAATACGTCATATGTTTACCAAAAATATTTCATACACTCTAGCAACAACACCTAAAATACATCACTATAACATGTTGTTGTATACAATACTTCAGGGGAAAAACAGCCAGTTTCAATGACTTGGAAATAAATGCGGTGGCCTGAAGAAATCTTATAGGGCAATTGTTCTAAAAGCTAATGGGATGTTTTCTCGATATTGGCAAATTATCGTCAGATGTTATCGATCATTTGGACAAGCTTACAAAACATAGAAATTAAGCCAAAAAGTGTAATACTGGTTGCTCCTAACTTAGCCTGGGGGAACAATAGAATTTACGCATCAGCTTTATGTTGACATTGAATTATAATTACGATATACAAATTCAAATCCTAAATAGGTGATTTTTTCATACATCTTTATGATTAAAATGTAATCATAGTAGAAACAGATTATTTTATTTTATTCTATATCACGATTAGAGAACGTCAATTACAATCTTTTGTAACAGTAACTGTTATCAATATGTTAAAAGATATACTGGTTAAATAAGAATATCATTATATTACATAATTATATATTTAAATGCTGTCTAATACATATTTATTATCCTAATTTTGATAGCAATACCAGTATGATTGAAAATTATTTTTTAAGAAATTAAGTGCATGGTTTATATCTTTATATGCATCTGAAAACAAATCTAATCTCGCTTACATTATACTAGTATATGATTTATCCGTGCTGACAAAAAGGAGTGTAAAAATCTCATTTGCATCTCAATTATAAAAACGTCGATTCAAGATCTGTAATAAAACGTTATTTTTACCTAACGCGGCTTATCTTCCCAGTATTTGTATGCTTGTTTTTTTCTTGCCTAAATGAAATATCACTTTAAACTGAAATAAATACGTCTTTACGACTGAAATATGTAAATAACTATATGACAGTTAGAAGTATTAATTACACTCGTTGCATTTGAGCGGGCAAACTCCAATTTTCAATTAAAGTTTAAAGTGTTAATTTTAATATATTATTAAATCAGCGGTACTGTTAACCTTTACTTAATAAATCACAGATGTAAAAAGGAACGGTTATTGTATAGGTAATTGCCGGTTATAAAATTATAACTCACAAATGATGTTAATCGAGCAATCCATGATTGTTTTTTATGTTATCTTAGTAGGCGTTATCATGTGTTCTTGCTTGCGAGTATTAATTCATTATAAATATGTAATATAACATAAAAACGTACATCTTGCGTGCAAATTATTAATTCATACATTATCGGGGTTTATCAGCAATCTTAACGTTTAACAGCTTTTTCAACGCTAATTGTGTGCGTTTGGTATTTAAACTAATGCAATGCACTTATATGCAATAAACGGTTATACAGTTTGTGCGTAACATTAATTGTTAAATCATTTTGAACACCTGTTATCTACAAAAATAAAACAGGCTTGATGGGAATAAAAGCGTTCAGGATGTTTTTGCTATGTAAAGTTATTGTTAAACATTAGATATATAGAAAGATACATAAAGACATGTAAATATATATCATAATATTAACATGTGTTTGTTTGCGTGAATTTAACAGATATGATACCACTTAGATGCTATGATCTAAAAAAATAATTTTGGGAACAGTTTTGTAAAGAAAACGAAATATGCTTTTATGATAGGAATTCAGAGTGCTATGTGACATCATATATACTCTTTTAATTTTGACTTCATGTCGTCCTAGAAAAGGTGTATGCTTACATAATTATTTTGGCTCATTAAAATAATCAAGTAAAATGTGATACAGTATGCCGTGAGAACATAAAAAAGTTAATTGGGTATATAAGTAACAACTGAATACTTAGTTGAGAAATTATGATAGGGATTTAAGTACGAAATCTGCTAAAATCTTAGCTTGCTATTGGCAACAGAATCTACCCATGCGACCAATGCAGGCAAAGGTCAGACAGTACTACTATGTTGTTAGATTATCGTATGTTCTGCGCGCCAATCAGTGTTTTCATGCTTTTAAAAATTCTATAAAACTAATGCGTCCCAATTAAAAGATTAACAATTCAATTAAGTATAGTGTGGTTTTCAACAAGTCACAGCGGAATATAGCAATCGAACGAGATATTATTGTTGTTGGTTTTTTATATTTATATATTAAATAAAATATATTGATAACATCCTACCTGTTATGTTTCCAATATCCGAACATGCCGGACTATCCGGACACACATGTTGTTTCAAAGATGTATAATCCAAAACGTCAAATCCACTTTGAACTTGCCAATCACAGTCTTTGTCATTTTCACAAAACTCACTACATGTTACACCGCATGTTGTCAGAGATAACACTAAAACACATAGAATCTTCATGTCAAAAACATAGAATCTATTTAACCCATTTACACTTTGAAGCTGATTTGTTTTCAGTAGAATATTTTCTGAGTTTGTTATGTAGTGAGATATTTCTTTTATGTTCCGTAGAGAGCAACTCGTAACGCATTGTTTCAGACATATAATTACTCTTTCGCAATGCAAAAGTATATTATAATTGACATAACAAAATGAAATACGTCCAATATCTCAATCCGCAAAACTTTTATGCACTATTTGCAGCTTAACAGAACACGATGCTTAGGAATGCAGGCTTTAAGCTGATTATGTGTAAGCTTCCAATACAATAGCATGTAATATCTCCATTTCGAATCAAATCCAATCGCTATGTATTATTCTCTATTGAGTTGTTCTGTATCAGAAGCTGATCTATTGCACACTATCTAACTTTTGATGAAGATTACCCACTATATGGCCGGGCAAGAATGTCTGTCTTCCAATAGTATTAAGCCCCTGTAGAATTTAGTTTTGAATAATTCCATAACTAATATTGCCGATAAATGAACACACTGTTGCTCCACGTCTTTCTTGTTATCGGATGCGCTGTTGTATATTTCTTATATCTATAACAAAAGAATGGAAGTGTGTCTATTGAAAAAAAAAACTTTGAATAGACCGTCATTTATTGTTTAAATACATTTAGTATATTAAGATAAAATGGTGCATTAGAAATTGGTTTCTTAACAATTTTGATTGTTTTACAAAATATGAAATACATCATAAATAATATGCATACGTTATTAAACCTTAAAGTGAGTTTATTGCTTTATATAAATAAATGATAAAAACATTATTTTGATAGCTTCCTTAAGATAAATGTAATTTAATAGTGTATAGAATTATTTTGCGGCAGTAATACAGTCAGCATATCTTTTGCATTTAAGTTATTTGTTAAATTTATCTGATATGATTCGACTAAATATTTTAAACAAATTTGCATTTAGATTGGTTAAACTTGAAATGAGTCAATTGACTTTCCTCTTATTAAGTGTTTTGTTGTAACGGTTGTTGTTTTATTGTTTAATTATTTAGTGTTTGTTGTAAACAATTATTGTAAATGTCTAGTCTCCCGTGGCAGGTAACTATTAAATAAATATTATAATGATAATAACATATGATAAAATTCCATTTCCTTAATTTTCCTTACGTATATGAACCACATGAGAGTTTCTTAGTATCACAAATTGTTTTTCTGTTTTTGATGCAGCCGATGCACACACTAATTAGAACTGACATGTGTTGTTTTATTGCAAAGCATGCAATTCACAGACTGAATTCCATCGATCAATAAAACGCAGGGTGATTTTATGATTTTAAATACCAACCAGTTATAAAGTATGGCGAATCGTTTGGGTCAAAAATCGTGCTTAACAGAGCACACAGCGAATGTAGCAAATACTTTTAGGGTTGAAACAAAACATGTGCACAGTTTTCCGTACAATTCCCATTAACTTTTAGCCTGATGGCTGCAACAGATTCTGAACGGGACGGTGTTCTGAACTGTTTCTTATTAAGCCGTTTTGATTTTTTTCCCATTTAAGATATGTAGCGTCACAATGGCCGCTTACACTTTTCCCTACATACTTAGTAAATATAATTATATAGATATATTTTTAAGTATAGGAGAAAAGATGTCGCACACTGAGAAATTTCCATGTACATATATAGGTGTTGAAGATCAATTATTACCTTTAGTTGCATTGTGTTAATTTGTTTTAACAACTTGTCAAACCTGTTTTATCACATAAAATCCATATTTAGGAGATATAACGAATTCCGTTTTTCAAATACAAATAAACTTTATTAACTATTTCCATATTCACACATTTTGAAACGTAAGAAAACATTTATTTAGATATAGTGTTCTGCTTAGGTACTAGGGGAATTCTTGTACAACTAAAATACAAAAAGATGTCCTTTTTCCTCAATTTATTTTCAAACTATTTTTTAAACTATTTCAAACCAGAGTTATACAATTTATATGTTCATATATAGAATAACATAAACAGATATTAAAGATTGAAATTATAATAGAATTATATTACACATACAAATTATTTAAACAAAGTGAAAGTAGAATTTAATAATTTTTATTTAACATGCCATTTTAACTTGATTATATTAAACAAAAGATGATGATTTTATAGTTTATTACATGTTTTTATTTCCATTTATTATTATTTTGCCTTTTAACATATAATAAAGATTAAAACTTAAGTTTTTACCAAATAATAACAATATAAAGTTTTCGGAAATAAATTTTACTGACAGAAAGCGCCATGTTTACTTTTTTATTAAATTATGCCAACTGGTTAAATTAAACGAGACGACTAGTTGAACGAAAAGTTTAAACAATTACGCCAAGTGCTACCAATAACAAATTTTAAGTTATTACCTAAGAAAGAAATATATTAAATAACTTCTACATGTAGTTAAAACAATTACATATACATTTAAGTCAGAACATAAGTTATAACACCCAAAAATTACAAAGTACAACATTCTCTTAACATTAACTTAAAATATTTGACTTACCTAAAATACAAAAAATGTCCTTTTTCCTCAATTTATTTTCAAACTATTTTTTAAACTATTTCAATCCAGAGTCATACAATCTATGGCTCTTCAGAGGAAAGGAATTTAGAACAACAACTTCCATAACAATAATAGACCAATCAATTTTACTGTACATCATGTGACCCTTAATTCCCTTAGGTAATTTTAACCAATCAATTTTAATTTCGTGTAACGAAATTTGGAATCACCCAATGAAACAATGTTTACATGTTAATAAAAGTATTAACTGAAACCCTGTAAGTTCATGACAAATCAGCTTATGGTTACTGATAGTGTTAAAATTTCTTTTGTAACATTTACTATCGAAA